TAATAGATATGTATGATATTGGGAGCAGAAGTGGGGAGGCAGATTCGGGAAGGGGGGTTGTCACCTCAAGGGGTAAAAAGCATAACTATTGCACTGTGTTGTACAGATGAAACTAAGTCTAAAAAATGTGTATTTCACAATAAAACAAAAAAAAGAAAAAAAAATGAAACAAGAATTTTTCCCACCCCACCCTCAACAGTAGATGGCTGTTGCTTTTTATGTGCTGCTAGGGTCATGTCAAGGGGAAGGTGGTTTCTGTCCTTTCTTCCAGGGAAGATGACTTTTTGCCCATCCCTGTTCCTAGAACAGTATTAGAGATAGGGGTGGGGGTATTTACAGGTTGCTGCTCCCCAGTAGCAGTTGGCTATTGCTTCAACCCCTTGCCAAGATGCAACAGTAGGTCTTTGTGTAGGGCTGACTGGGATTCCTGTCTATCCCTAAGAAGCTTACAGCTTTTGCTCTCAGGAGAAAATATTCTGAGACGTGGGCAGGGTTTGTGGCCTGAGAGCCACTGAGGGGTCTCACAGGTCTCTTGTTTTTCCCTCATCATTTTTATGAGTGCTAAGGGCAGATAAGATGTTGAATAAGGTGTGGTTGGGTAAGGTGTAGTTTCGGTCCACTGAATGACAGAGAAGCCTGAATGGCTAGCTAGGAGCACAAAGACCGACGTGCACCCTCTTTGCGATAGGAGAGTGAGGAAACAAAGCTTTGTGGAAAGACTCTCGCATTCTGGCTACCAGATACACAGCTGTTCCCTGAGTCAAGAACTAGAGAAAACACACAGTGAAACCTGTACTATCGAAGCCCTCGGCGTTGGAGAAAAATCATGTGGCCTGAGCAGTGGGAAAAGAAACATACATTCTCTAAGAACCAGGCAAATGAGACTTCTGATCCCAGAAACGAGGGCTGCTTCTTTCCTGCCTTGTCTCCAGTCCTCTCTACTGACAAACATTTGCATCATGCCAGCTAGCAAAGAAATATATTTCAACGGCCGAGATCCATTTTCATAGAGCAGGCTGTGAAGAGAGCACTTGAAGCTGAGAGGTAGTAAATTGATAACTAGCACAGTGACTATAACAAAAAAACAGTGGAGTAAAGAGTGGGGTCAAAGCAGGGGCCGGCGGTAAGAAATGCTGACTTGGGAGCACTCAGATGCTAAGCACTCATTTGGAACACTGGCGTTATCAGACTACTTGTTTTTGTGTTTGTGGGGTGTTTCTTCTCATTAAAACCTACACATTTACTTTATCTTCTCCCCCTTTTATTTCTATTTAACAGGGCAAAATGAATAAGAGGGAGATAAGTGTGTGTCATCAAACTTGGGCCTTATTATGCAAGAACCTCCTTAAGAAATGGCGAATGAAAAGAGAGTCCTTACTGGTATGATTTAATATCTGTGTCACTTTGTATTTATGATAGGAAAATGTATATTCCTGGGGATGTATCTCCACTTTGTTTATCTCCCCTCCAAAGGAGTAGAACACCTTCATACAACAGAAGAAGCTGTTCCTTGAA